CGCATAAACAAAACTCAAAAGTTCATATACACAAATTATAAGAAAGTTCATTGTATTAATTTGAATCTGCTGTAATGTATTTTTTTGAATAAATTGTATTTATTCCAAGTACAGTATACTAGTATTAGTTTCATATTCTTGCGGTATTTATATAATATGGTTATCTATATATCTTAGGCTCAAATTAATGATGGTGATTAAGCTCTAATAAACAATTCTTTAAGAATAATCTTTAACAGTTTTGAGACTTATAGACTGATGAAGTTACAAGGCTGATTAGGATTTCATGACATATTTTGTATTTGAACAAGACTTTAATTAACTTATTCTCAGGAAATATATTATAATTAGGCAGACATTGACCTTTCTATAATATGTGTATATTATATCAAGGTCAAGGAAGATGCTGCCACTTTCAACTGATTCGATGGGAGAACTAAGATTGCTTTTCTTCTGGAAGTCTTGGAGTGTAGCATCAGCTGACAAAGGTTGGAAGACAAAACAAAAATAATAATAATTATCGATAATTACAGATTAATTATTGGACAATTATAGTGATTAGTTACAAAAAGTAAGATTATAGTTGCATTGTCGCAGATTAGGTAAGATTATTTACGTCTAGATAAGCCATTGACTGCCCCGAATGCAATCACCAACCTAAACCACCATCTTTCTCTCATTATTTATCATCCCTTTATTTTGAGATAATATTGGCTTAATTAATCTTGTAAGATATTAAATAGAACTATAATAATTGAAATTACGCAATTAAGGTTGAGGCATCTCAGTATCTCACATCTGATCCATTGAGGGTTTCTTTACAGCTCTGGGGTTGTGAACATGATAATCGGTGATTCAACTGGGTGTTGTTTTTGCTGAGACTTTGTGGGTGGAAATGCCATGGATAAGGATTTGGTGCTTCTAGAATCAAATACGATTACTGTATAATTACATACATGAACCAAGAAGAAACAGAAGTAAAATAGTCATTAAGACGTTATTTGACTTATTTACAGTGATTATTTTATTATGCAGGAAGTTGACATTAGTTGGGTGATCGACTATCTAATGTATTTTCACATGTTTCAAAATAGAAACAAAAGTTCTCTCATGACACGAAATAATGACTAATTTTAAATTATAAGAGTTAATACTCTTAACCCTCCAAAATTTAGATGTTCACTCATCATCAATATAAAATAATACATTTTTTTTTTTTTTTGAATATTTTGGTTGAATTCTTGCCGATTGTTATTTCGCATTTTATAATAATTAATTAATCGATAATTTGTTACTACACAACAATTTAATTTAATTTAATCACAATTAATAATTAATCTTAAGCTAATCCAATATTAATAAAAATTAAACAGATTAAATCTAATCTTCAATCCAACCCGAAAATTGGCAATTCATCAGTAAAAATAGATCAACTTATGATTACCTTGACGGAGATTACCAGGGTGGGTGACATTGTTAGTTTTCAAAACAAAGGGTGGGAAATCCTCTCATCCATCACTGATTTCTCACCGATTGTCGACCACTGCAAAATCAGGCTTCTATTCTTAATTGATTTCGACGACGAACATTCAATTGATCACCACCATTCGACCACGGCCTCCACTCATAAAACCCCTCTACTCTGGCTCCTGGTAACTTGGTAGATGTGGCTGAGAAAGTGAGGTGTATTTTTGGTTATTAACGAAATATAAACTTTGGGTGGGAAAGTGGTATTTTGAAATTTTTTGGGTGGAAAAAAGTCGTTTACTCTCTGTATTACTCTAAATATTAAACATGCCACCATATATAAAACAAGGTTTTTATCTCAAGTGTTTAATCAAAGTTTCTAAATACCATAAAGCTCCTGAGATGTGAAGCAAGGTTGTTGAACGGTCGTCACGGCCACAAAATAAACCTAAATACCGTAGTTAGCGATAAGCAGTGTCGAATCCAGAGAGAGCAAAGCTAATGACCTATGTATTATTTGAGTCAGAAAGAGAAATTGGCAAAATGATTGATTAAAACTAAGGAAACTAATTTATTGCAGGAAACTAAAACATCAAATAAATTACTAACTAAAACACAAATAAAAGCGTTGCCGCACAGGTTTGGTTTGACTCAAGACAACTCTCACAATTCCTCTCCTCGCTCTTCAATTTCCTAAATCTACAAGGCTAGGCAAATCTATAAAAATATCTCCCGGCAATCTAGGTATAATCTATCCTGTCTCCCGTCATCTTAGTTACAGATCGATTGGTTAAAGACTATTGTTGACTAACAAAAAATGCTAAACCCTAAACACCACTAGTTGGTACAAGTTAACAAGTATAACTATCAACTGTATATCCAACAACCTCGCAATGGTCGTAGGGCTAAAGCGCTTAGAGACTGCGGATTGCATCCTATAAAATATTAAGTTAATTAATTAATTAAATTAATCAATACAGTGAAATCTCTCTATAGTTATAATGGTGAGACTAATTAATTTTATTATTATGAGAAAATTATAATTTAATAGAAGTGTAGTTATAAATTTTTTTTATTTTATAATTCATGTTTTAGTAGTACAATATTAGGATTTCAATTCATGTTTTAATAGTATTAGGATTTTAATTCAACGCTTTAATTGCTTACTTTTTAAACGAATAGAAGATTGTGTCTTGGAACCAGCAAAGATAAGTGTCTTTGATGAATTGTAAATACAGTGGTTGCATGGTTAAATTAATATGAAGCCACAAACAATTGTCAATTGTTTTAAACATTATAAAATTAGGACCCCTAATGTCTATGAATTACAAATTATAAATAAAGTAGATGAGAAGAATTAAAGAATCATTGTAAAATTGAGTGATCAGATTTGACAACTTTACTACACTAATCGAATGGATATTAATGTCTTCCTCAATCATTCAAATAAGCAATATGTCATGTATGCTTTAACTGAAGAAGAAATCATTGCTACAATTACACAAGAAGAGAAGGAAATAATCATGAGGATCATAGTACGGAAATATAAAAAATTTTATGCCAAGAAGCTCCAAACATGCTTGAGAAGCTATAAATATTTTGGCTTCAATAAAAAGATGTCCATGCTAACGAGTAATGAACCCACAAGTTAAAAGATGTGGTAACAATTCTAAAACATAAATCATTGTTTTAAACAACTTTAGATAAATATTTTATTTCATCTTAAACCTTTAATGTATCAAATAATATATTTTTTTTGCAATATACACATAATTATTATTATGTGGAGATAATTTTCCTTAAGGCGTGAATTAAAAAAATTATAAGTTATTACAATGTGAAGTTTATTCTTATTTATAACTATCCCAAGTTGGGAATAAAATTTTTGATAACTATGTAGAGTTTATTCTTATATAGAGTATTACTATAAAGAAGTTTTACTTTATATACCAAATAGTAAGAAAATGACAAAAAAGATGACCAAAGTGCTGAGGATTGAGGATTTTCAGGTGAAACTATACCACAAGAATACCTTTTAATTAAGAAGTACCTTAACCTTAAAATGTTTGGAAATAATATTTCATAGAGTGCAATCCCAATTAGAGAACGTGTCTCAATCTTATATCTCAGAGTTCATAAATATTAAGATTGAGATTAAATTAATGATAAACACTACACTTAATAAAAAATAGACTCATATTACTACCTCATTTTCTATACAAATATATAGATTTTGTAAGTGTTTCAAAATCAATCTTAGTATAAGATAATTAGTAAACATTATGGTATAGTCTTTCATGCAATTATATATGATGTCTTTAATTAATAAGTAATACTACATTTACAAAGAAATTTTACAAAGATCTCTATACAAAGTGATGTGGCAAAAAATGAATGGAATAATGAATTTAATGAGTTTAACTTTTTGTTTTACTCTTCCATTTATTTTTTTCCACATCACTTTATATGGAAATCTTTGTAAGTATAGTATTATTGTTAATTAATATACTTCATTAAATATACAGTGATGTTATGTATACTGTCCTTGTTCAATATTCATTTTGTGTAAGTCTTTATATATAAATATATACACAAGACAAAGACATTGATAATAATACATAATGTATAATAAAAAATACAAGAAAACCAAATCTATGCCCTGGCTTAGCTGATACCAATAATGTGAGGCTAGAACGAATTAAATAACCTTATTATTAGTGAGATTTATAGAGTCTTGCTCTATTTGAAAATCATAGATTTTCTGTATAAATTACTTCACACCATTACATCAATGGGTAGAGTAGAAAATTTTAATTAAATGAAACATAAATCCTTAATGATTATTTCATTTTGTTTAATCTACTTCATTTAAATATGAGTAATACTATACCTACAATATATTCTAACAAACTTTCTCTCACAACCCTAACGTAACAGCTTACAATTGATCAATTACAATTTATCATGTAGGACCCAGGTGAGACTCATTATGAATTTACCAATTACAAACTGTCACGTCGAGATCGTGAGATAAAGTTTTGAGAAGAGATTGTGCAGAGTGTAGCACTTTCCTTTAAATATTTGCAAACTCATATACGTATACCACCGGATAATGCATGTTCTCCAACTCGGAAATACAGTTGAAATACAGTAAATTTTAATTGAGAAGGTTCAGATGAATAGAAACATGGTAAATTTTCAATGAAAGTTAAACCATGTGATAATTAATATTTGACTATGTATTCTTCCTCTTATTAAATAACACCTTCACTACCTAATCCTGATTTTAATGCCATTTAATTGATTTTGTTTTTCTCTCTTTTTGGTTCGAATTAGACGCCAGGTGGTAGATTCTAGGGCACTTCTCACTTCCTCCTCATTACCTTGGTTTTAAAAAGCTAGTCAATTAAGATTATAGTAATAATTAAAAAGAATGAAAATGTGAACTCATAGGTTTGAATTACATCTCCCTCATGCACCTATAAATAAAACCTCCATTACCCACCCAGATTTATCTTCAACCTCAATTTCTAAGCAACAAATCTGAACGAATCCATCTCTCCATCGTTACATATCTTATTCAATTGATTCTTTCTTTCTTCTGTCTTGGCACAATGAGATCTCCTTCTTGTTCTGAGGACAATAGTAAATTGAAGAAAGGACCATGGACTCCAGAAGAGGATCAGAAGCTTATTGATTACATTAACAACCACGGGCGTGGAAGTTGGAGATCACTTCCAAAGCTCGCTGGCTTGAACAGGTGTGGCAAGAGTTGCAGACTGAGATGGACGAATTATTTGAGGCCTGATATCAAGAGAGGAAAATTCACCGACCAAGAAGAGCGTATCATCATTGAGCTTCACGCAACTCTCGGAAACAAGTAATTTTCTTTTCTCTGTGTGAAAATTCTATTGCTTTATGTTTTAATATTGGAGACTGACATGTAGATTCGATGCAGGTGGTCGACAATTGCTAGCCATCTTCCAGGGCGGACGGATAACGAAATCAAGAACTTTTGGAACACTAATATAAGGAAGAAGCTACTCGGAATGGGAATTGATCCAAGCACACACAAGCCGAGGACTGATCTCAATCAACTTTTGAATCTTTCCCAGATAATTTCTGCAGCACCATTTGGCAATTTGATGAACCCTTGGGATAATATTGCTCTTAGGTTACAAACAGACGCCGCTCAACTTGCCAAAATCCAGCTCTTGCAAAATCTACTGCAGATTATGAATGCAAACCCATCACTTGTTCCAAACGTTGATAGCACCAGTGCTCTTTTAGGCTCCCAAAATCTTAACCCATTATTTCAAGGACTAATGAACAAAACAATCAATCCTACTGAGGGTCATGATCAGGTGCGTCCCCATGATTCTTCTCTGAATCCGGGCTCAATCTCTCAAGCAACCGACGAAGACCTTCGGGCTCTTGCCGATTCTTGGAACTGCTCAGAAGATCTTGATGCTCTTAATAACAGCTTTAATGGTGGTTCCTATCGTGCTGAGAACACACTTCCTCAATTGGTTTCAGTCTCTAATGAGACGACAACTATCAGCCAAATGGAAAGCAAGGGCAACGCAACTCATTTCTCCACCAGCTCATCACCAGCCTCCTCTACTTTTGAAGATTGGAAGAAACTCTTGGATAATGAAAGCAATGAATCTTATTGGGAAAATATTCTAAAGTAGGTATTTAATTTGGCTTTATTAATAATAATTTTGCTGCATTTTGCATGCTTAATTAATTATTTTCCTAATATTTAACTGATCATCGCTGTTTCCTTCTTCGCAGCCTTACATCGTCAGAGTCATCACCAATCTCGTGGTAGAAAAAGTTAATTGTCATGATATCAATACTCGATACAGGAAAGATTGTGAAGTTTTAATTTTTAATTTTTTCAAGTTCTTTCATTTACTTTGTTCATTGGGGCAGCTTGTTTATGCTGCCTCCGCATAATCAAAACTCAAAAGTTCATATACACAAATTATAAGAAAATTGTTCATTGTATTAATTTGAATCTGCTGTAATGTATTTTTTTGAAATAAATTGTATTTATTCCAAGTACAGTATACTAGTATTAGTTTCATTATTCTTGCGGTTATTATATAATATGGTCATCTATATATCTTAGGCTCAAATTAATGATGGTGATTAAGCTCTAATAAAACAATTCTTTAAGAATAATCTTTAACAGTTTTGAGACTTATTAGACTGATGAAGTACAAGGCTGATTAGAATTTCACGACATATTTTGTATCTGAACAAGACTTTAATTAACTTATTCTCAGGAAATATATTATAATTAGGCAGACATTGACCTTTCTATAATATGTGTATATATATATCAAGGTCAAGGAAGATGCTGCCACTTTCAACTGATTCGATGGAGAGAACTAAGATTGCTTTTCTTCTGGAAGTCTTGGAGTGTAACATCAGCTGACAAAGGTTGGAAGACAAAACAAAAATAATAATAATTATCGATAATATTACAGATTAATTATTGGACAATTATAGAGATTAGTTACAAAAAGTAAGATTATTAGTTGCATTGTCGCAGATTAGGTAAGATTATTTACGTCTCAGATAAGCCATTGACTGCCCCGAATGCAATCACCAACCTAAACCACCATCTTTCTCTTTCATTATTTATTTCATCCTATTTTTGAGTTAATATATGGCTTAATTAATTTCTTGTAAGATATTAAATAGAACCTATAATAATTGAAATTACGCAATTAAGGTTGAGGCATCTGAGTATCTCACATCTGATCCATTGATGAGGGTTTCTTTACAGCTCTGGGGTTTTGAACATGATGATCGATGATTCAACTGGGTGTTGTTTTTGCTGAGACTTTTGTGGTGGAAATGGATAAAGATTTGGTGCTTCTAGAATCAAATACGATTACTTGTATAATTTACATACATGAACCAAGAAGAAACAAGAAGTAAAATTAGTCATTAAGAATCGTTATTTGACTTATTTACAGTGATTATTTTATTATGCAGGAAGTCTTGACATTAGTTGGGTGATCGACTTATCGTAATAGTATTTTCACATGTTTCAAAATAGAAACAAAAGTTCTCTCATGACACAAGAGATAATTAATATTAATTTTAAATTATAAGAGTTAATACTCTTAACTCTCCAAAATTTAGATGTTCATTCATCATCTAATATAAATAATACATTTTTTTTTTTTTTTTGAATATTTTGGTTGAAATTCTTGCCAATTGTTACTTCGCATTTTATAATAATTAATTAATCGATAATTTGTTACTACACAACAATTTAATTTAATTTAATCACAATTAATAATCAATCTTAAGCTAATCCAATATTAATAAAAATTAATCACAGATTAAATCTAATCTTCAATCCAACCCGAATTAACCGTTAAGTAGTCATTTTTATCTAGTTGAATACTAATGGAACTGCCTCTAATGGTACCCACGGACATTGTTAGTTTTCAAAACAAAGGGTGCAAAATTGTGTTTTTGCGAAAGTTAGGTTAGGAAGATGATATTCACTCTTCAATATATATATATATATATATACAATAAAACCTCTCTATAGTCATAATACTGGGACTAACTAAATTTATTACTATAAGGAGGTTATAATTTAATAGAGATGTAATTACAAGTTATTATTTTGATTAAAAAATTGTTATTTTGATTTCTTATTCGATAATTAATGTTTTAGTAGTATTAAGATTTCAATTCATTGTTTTAGTAGGACTAGGATAGTACGAAAATTGATATCAAAGAGTCATTACAAAATTGAGTGATCAGATTTGGCAACTTCACTACACTAATCGAATGGATATTAACGTCTTCCTCAATCATCCAAATGAGTAACAAGTCGTGTTTGCTTTAACTAGAGAAGAAATCATTACTGGAATTAAACAAGAAGAGGAAAGAGATAATTCTGAGGATGATAATACGGAAATACTAAAAGTTTCATGCCAAGAAGCTTTAAACATGCTTGAAAGTTAGAAATATTTTGGCTTCAACAAAAAGATGTTCATGCTATCAATCTATTACATACTCACATAATAAAAGATGTGGTATCAACTTAAACCATAAATAATTGTCTCAAATAACTTTAGATAAATATTTTATTTCATCTTAAACCTTTAATGTAAAATAGTATATATTTTTTCCAATATAAATACAATTATTACTATGTAGAGGCAAGTTCCTTAAGACGGGACCTAGAAAAATTATAGCTTATTACAATATAAAATTTATTCTTATTTATAACTGGTCCTAGTTGGGGCCAAATTTTTTTATGACTACATGAAAGTTATTCTTATATAGAGTATCACTATCCATTTATTTTACTGTATTTTTCGTTTATACATTGTTGGTTACCCGTAATCACACACACATCAGATTCCGATTCTACCAAGGTCGATCGGATCACTTTAGTTAGTCTATTTTTGCATCAACAATATATATATATATATATATATATATATATATATATTCTGAAAATAGAAAATTAAATTGAAGGAAATTAACATTTTGCAAACCCACTACGAGAGTTCTTAAAATTTTTCAAGAAGCCTAACATATTAAGGTTTAAATTAATTCTAAAATATTGTTCTCAAAAAGTCTAATGACCCTGAAGAGTATTTTAAACAATAGTTTCATTGACAATCTATTTTTGGTGAATAAAAGTCATTTTTTACTATTTACATCGGTCTAACAAAAACTATTTTTAATATTTTTCTAATAGTGGTTTTTCCTTCCAATTCTGTTCACCGGAATTAGCTACTACCTTTAAATGTTAAACCTTATATCTAACTAAAATATAATGGTACACACTCCAAATGCAAAATTGAATGCTTAGGTAATTCCGATTATTTACTTCTGTATTAGAGTAAAAAACTTTTTCCCACCCAAGGTTTGCATTAATGACACTTTTCTACCCCAAAAGTTTCAAAATATCACTATTCCACCCAAATTATATATTCCGTTAATACCCAAAGCCGATTCCGGAGGCAAAAATTCTCTCTGTCACCATCACTTGAACCTTCGATCTCTTTTATACAAAAACCCTCTCACTCCAACACCTGATTTCTCACCGATTGTCGACTACTGCAAAGTTAGGGCTTCTTATTCTTAACTGATTCCGACGACGAACATTCAATTTATCACCACCATTCGATCCACTGGCCTCCACTCTATAAAACCCCTCTTACCTTGGCTCCTGGTAACTTGTTGAATGCTGGCTGAGAAAGTGAGGTGTATTTTTGGGTATTAACGGAATATAAACTTTGGGTGGGAAAGTGGTATTTTGAAATTTTTTGGGTGGAAAAAAGTCGTTTACTCTCTGTATTACTCTAAATATTAAACACACACCATATTATAAACAAGGGTTTATTCTCAAGTGTTTAATCAAAGTTTCTCAAATACCATAAAGCTCCTGAGATGTGAAACAAGAGTTGTTGAACCGGTTGTCACGGCCACAAAATTAAACCTAAATACCGTAGTTAGCGATAAGCAGGGTAAGGTCGAATCCACAGAGAGCAAGATTGATAACCTAATGTATTATTTGAGTTAACGAAAGAGAAATTAGCAAAATGATTGATTAAAACTAAGGAAACTAATTAATTGCAGGAAACTAAAAACATCAAATAAATTGCTAACTAAAACACAATATTAAAAGCGTTACCGCTACGGGTTCGGTTTGACTCAAGACCAACTCTCACAATTCCTCTCCTCGCTCTTCAATTTCCTAAACCTACAAGGCTAGACAAATCTATAAAAATATCTCCCGGCAATCTAGGTATAATCTATCCTATCTCTCTGTCGTCTTAGTTACAAATCAATTGGTTAAAGACTATTGTTGACTAACAAAAAAATGCTAAACCCTTAAACACCACTAGTTGGTACAACGTTAACAAGTACAACCTATCAACTTGTATTATCCAATCAACTAATTACAAAACAAATGCATTCCTAGTACAAATGATATTAAACGCTAATACAACTTGATTGCAATCAGTACCGAAGCTGTTTAAAGTCATAATCAACATTCAATAATCTCAAACTGACATTCAATTATGCGAAAAGTTATATATCAAAAAACATTCTCAATGGACATTATCAATTCAGCACGTCGAGCATCAGAATAATATTAAAGCATCGCAAACAAACTGAAACGAAAACAAATATAATCTGAATACAAGAAACTTAACCAAATGTCCAACATTCGGGCTCATCCAACTAGTCGAGAGCTGATGAGGAGAGCAATGGAGTCAATCTCGATCTTGCCTATGCCGTAACAGACAACTGGGAACTCAGCTGCTCATAGTGGTGTCGATGGAGGCTAAAACGGTGGAAACAAAGCTGATCATGGCGGAGAGGAAATAACCAACAACGATATGATCCAAAGAAGGAGCGAAAATGACCAACGGACAGCCCGAAATATGAACAGTCGCACTCGTCAGAAAACTAATGTTTTCTGGCGGGTCTTCCGGAAAATGGTGGCGGAAATGAGATCCGAAGGTACCAATGGAAAGCTCTGGTGATGGGGAGTTTAGATCAGGTGCTAGGGAGATGAAAGGTTTCTGGAAATGGGAGAGATTGCGGCTAGAAGGTGAACAGGCACGACGACGGTGATGGTGGATTCCGGTGGTTTTGGCGGCGGCTGAAGCTTGGAATGGATAGATCCGACCGTGGGGAAGTTAGATCAACCACCAGGGAGATCCAACATTGCCGGAGTTTGCCGAAAAATGGTGAAATCCTGGCTGGAATGCGACACGTTGCGACCGTGATACGTGATCGTGGTGGTGTTGACGACTGATGAAGATGATCGGTGCAAGGAGAATACGAAGGGTCACCGAAGCTCGTCGGAACTTGATCAGAGAAGGTGAAGGGTTTTGGTGGGCGGCAGCCACCCAATCTGCGTCTTTGCGTTGCACTTTTATACAAAATATGACAAATTTCCATTTGATCCCTGCATGATTGAAATGTTACAAAATCAACCCCAAGTTTTATGACAATTTGAC